CCCTCGGGCCGCCTCCCGCCACTCACCCGCGCAGGGCCCGGCAGCCGGGGAGAAGCACCAGGACCGGGAGGAGGCGGCGAGGACCCAGGAGCCACCGCGGCACGGCACGAACACCCGACGCCTCGCACCGCGCTGTCTTTGTCCGCGCACATCACTTCCGGACGCGACGAGGGGCGTGGTCTGCGCAAGCCCCGCCCCGACTGCTAGCCCCGCCCCTTCTCGCGGGCCGCAGCCAACCCGCTTCGTCTCCGGTTCCGGGCGGAGCGCCGAGCCGCGGGCGTGCGCGCAGGCGCGTTCCGGGCGCCCGCGGGCCCGCCCTGGGCTCGAACTCAGGGTCCGAGCGCTGTCCCCGGGCCCTTTTCACCGAAGCCTGGCGCTCCCTCGAGCCACAGCTCCCCTTGGGGCTTTTTCCCTGGCGTATGGCTGGCTTTGACCCGCGATCCTCCCGTCTCAGCCTCCTGACAGGCGCCAGCCGCCGCGCCCGGCCGGCCTTTCCCTTCCAACCTGTATTATTGGAGATGGTACAGCCCGGGCTGGACTGCAGGTGTGAGCCCCACGCCCAGCCGTGCTGCTGGGCTCCTGAAAGTCAACCTTGCATGCATTTCCCCGGGGTAAAAAAAAAAGAGGGAAACGGGCCATCGGTGCTCCAAGTCACCCATCTCCATTAGCAACTTAATACTGCAAAGAAAGAAGCGAGACAGGAAGGGGGGAGAGGGGAGAAGGGGAGAAGGTGGCCTAGCATCTGCTTCCATGCTAGGCCACATACGCAAAACAAGTTCCCATTCTTAAAGACTTACACTTCACTGGGCTGATGTTTATTGCGTGTGCCAGTTCTGGGGCTGGAGCTCACAGTCCAAGTGCCGTCCCTTAGCTTTTCTCACTCAAGGATTTTGCTCTACCACTTGAGCCACACACCTCCATTACCAGCTTTTTGTAGTTAACTGGAGATAAGAGTTTCATGGGCTTTTCTGCCTGGGCTGGCTTTGAACCCTGATCCTCAGATCTCAGCCTCTTGAGTAGCTAGGATTACAGGCGCGAGCCACTGGTGCCCAGCTCTGGGATGGCCTTGAAGCAGGGATAATGTGGACAGAAGAGAGCTTGCAGGTAGGTAGACCCTCTGAGCTTCAGCCTCCTCTCCTGCTCGGCAATGCTCTGGGACTGTGTGGAGAGTGTCGTAAGTCCAACCTTTAGCCCAGCACTTTCAACAGCTTTGTAGGGAATGCAAGCAATTATGACAGCATTCATCTTAAGTGAGCGGACAGTCCCTAGACTAACATGTTAGTGTTGAATGTACAAATGCCTTCCTCTGGGCAGTGCACACAGGCAGTGGTTGGTTTGTCTGGGGTTTTTTGTTGTTTTGTTTTCTTTGCTTGTTTTTTGTTTTGTTTTGGTCAGGGTTTCAATAAGTTACCCAGGTTTTAGCCTTCGAAGGCTGGAATTATAGGCATGCGCTATGACACCCAGTGAATGTTTCCTTTCATCTACGAGGATTTAGATGAAGGGGTAAAAAGCTCCTTCAGCATTTCAGTTCATGTATACATAAGATGCCATACTTTCTAGACTATTTCTAGATCACGTTATTGTCTGGACTGACTCCTTTTACAGGCTTCATTTTACATCTTTCTAGATCCCAAGAGTGTCTAGAATCCTTTTTGGGAATCCAGCTCAGATCCAAACCCATCTCTACCCTCTACCCTACTTCCACTGCCAGGCTCCAAGGCCTTTCCAGGCATGGCTAGTGGACCTTCAAGCTGCTCACGTAGACCTTTGAATTCTCAAGCCTAGCCCATAGGACTTGCCCAGTGAATGTTTGTGGAATGCAAGGGCTAGGGGTTAATGTAAGGTCTGCTGCCCTGGGCCAGGCCCTGCCCTCCCCACCTCCTGCATTAGTCTCCACCCAGTACCTGCATCACCTAGGTAACTGGCACACCTGGAAGCAGTCACCAGCTCCCTCCTCCGAGGTCACATCCTGGTGGAGTCCTGGCTTAATTGATAAGAGTGCTAGCCAATGAGCAAAAGTGTTAGCTACTCAGTCTTGGGGGTAGGAGGGAAGGGAGGGAAGACAAAGATTAGAGGGGTCTTCAGATGCCATCTGGTTGCTCTGAAAGCCTTCACCCACGCTTTAAATCCCGGACCCCCCCCCAAAAAAACCATTAAATCCCCACCAGAAACTACACATGCACACACTGTCTCATACGTGAAATTCAAAGCTTCCTAGCTTCCTCACTCATTATTCTAATTGCCAAAGGAATTATGTTCTTTCATTCCTGCTGAGGAACTTTCTAGAAAACAAAATATCTTCTGTATGCCTCTGCCAGGCTAATACTCTGTAATTTGAAAAAGTCTGTGTGTGTGTGTGTGTGTGTGTGTGTGTGTGTGTGTTCTGGAGCTTGAATTCAGGGCCTGGTCACAGTCCCTGAGTGTGCTCGAGGCGGGTGCTCTACCACTTGACCCACAGATATATTTTCAGATTTTTTGCTGGTTAAGAGTCTCGAGTCTCAGGGATTTCTCTTCCCAGGATGCTTTTGAACCATAATCCTCAGATCTCAGCCTCCTGAGTAGCTAGGATACGATTATAGGTGTGAGCCATGGTAACAGCTTAGCCTCGACACTGAGTGACAACGCCTTCGCCTTCAGCTCCTGTACAGCTGCCCACGAAACACCACCCACACACCATCCCCCTGTCTTCCCGAGTGGAGGAAGCTGAGCCCTTCCCTGGCCTGAGCATAGCTGCCCAACCAGGCATCCCAGGGCATCTCCTGACCTCTGCCTAGCAGTGACTGTGGGTGATGTGCAGATCACAATGGATCAGAAGAGGCCCCTGGGCAGCAGGGAGGGGACAGACAGGAAGATGAGGCTCTCCGAAGGGCTGGCTCACTTGCTCAGAGGTCCAAAACTCACGGAATCTTCAGGGGCCTTTCCCCAAAATCCAGACACAGTGAGTGTACCACTTCCCAAGCGCTGGGTCAGTGCTGACCTGGGCCTGGGCGTGAGGGCTGGCCTGGAGACCCCTGCTGAGCGGGCCCTGGAGCTCAGCCTCCCCGAGGGGGTGTTGGTTCAAAGCGCTTTATCTGGGCTGGGGGGGTTCCATGGAGGTGCAGGAGGTCCTGGGCTTCTGCCAGACCCATTGCCTCTGCATCTGTACAGTGGAGGCTGGAGGGGTCGAGCAGTCACGTGACTGGGGGCGCAGGCTTCCTAATTGCAGCTTGACTCAGGGTGACTGCAGGACACTGCTGGGCCCCTCCACCAAGGGGAGAACTTTTGCTCCAAGGGGGGACGTGTCTGTCCAGTGCTGCTCTGTCTGTCCACCAGGGGGCGCGCGTTCACTCACCACTGCTCTGCCTGTCCACCAGGTGCAGTTCACTCCGTGCTGCTCTTCCTGTCCACCAGGGGGCGCGCGTCCACTCTGCACTGTTCCGCATGCCCACCAGGGGGCGGAAGTTCGCTCAGCACTGCTCGGCCTGTGCACCAGGGAATGAACATTCACCCCATGACCTGTGGGGTTGGACCTATCTGCCAGGGAGCACGTGTCCGTTCTACGCTGTTCGACATGTCCCGCATTGCTCACTCTGCCCACGAGGGGGCGCGTGTCCGTTCTGCACTGCTCCGCATGTCCACCAGGGGGTGCGAGTTTGCCCTTCAATGCTCCACCTGTCCACCAGGGGGCACGCGTGCACTCATCGCTGCTCGGCCTGTCCACCAGGTGCAGTTCACTGCACGCTGCTCCGCTTGTCCACCAGAGGGCGCGCGTCTACCTTGCGCTGCTCCACCTGCCCACCAGGGGGCGCGCGTTAACTCATCGCTGCTCGGCCTGTCCACCAGGTGCAGTTCACTGCACGCTGCTGCTCCGCTTATCCACCAGAGGACGCGCGTCCGCCCCGCGCTGCTCGGCCTGTCCGCC